ATTGTTATGTTGCCGGTTGTATCGAAGCTCTCAGTCTTGTCATAAACCTATAATATGTGGGTTCGGTTTCGTGCACATGCGCTTACGAATAACCATGTTTCATCTGCTTGGTCAAACAAAGTGATGCGGTCTTACATTGGTTTACCGAAATTGCTAATAAGACAATGAACTCTGTCCTGCTTGAAGGGTTGTTTCGGCTACTGTAAGCAAAGCGTACAACGTGTCTATACCTTCCAAATGTGCAGGAGTAGCTCAAGACTGTTAAGACTAGAAGGTTTAGTTCGAATACGAAGTTGCAGTAATGGAAATCATCTATTATTCAAATAAATCTTTAAGTTAAGACAGTTGATTTTAATCTGAAAATTGTCATCAACGTGTGCTAATATTTGAGATTTCACGCTCGCCACAAATTTCCATCCGTGCATTTCATCTATTCCGGTTTCATAAATGCTACTGTTGCAAAAATTTACTCGTTGAGTCTATTTGGTCTGAGCTTAAGGAAAGGTTTTGGAATGAGTATATTGTGAGCTAAAGTACATCGGCTTCAGAGAACGAACTGCATTAACAGCCAGCAACAAGTAAGTAACCTGTGGAGAGTCAAAGACATTGGCAATAATGCATTGCTGACGAATGTACGAGGCTTACATTGTGATCATCTTGCTCTGTTGAGCAAGGCCGCAAACGGAAAACTGTTAGTGAGGCAAATGATGATTTTGAGATCGATATCATGAATGGCAGAGTATATTGCTGTAAGAAAAAAATAGAATATAAAATCAGAACGTGATGGACTGGCTGTAAATAACGTTTAAGACAGTGAAGCAGTTGCAAACGGATGGACGATGGCCACCTTGCGAACTACATACGAACGCAAAGCTTGATGACAGACGATCGCCAGGAAGACCTACATCGAGATGGCAAGAATTGTAAGAATTGACATGGCTTCGAAAGCGGTCAATGAGAATTCAGCTCGGCCGCCGCTCGGCTCTGATTGATAGTTGTTGCCAAAGTGCGAGTTTACTGTGGCGCCAGTTTGACCCCGTATGGTTGGACTGTGGTCTTTCGAACAACTCTTACGTCTAACCCACCGTATCAGATATCTGAATGAGAATCTGTCAGTGAACACAATGCGATATTTATGTCAAACTGCTGATTTTCTTAGGTTTCGTTTTTCTTACTGCGAGAATTTATTAATTTGGCACGTATCGTGCGGTCGCGACCTTGACTGTATATATCAGCAGGTGTTATATTACCTGCATATTATTAAATAACTCTCAGATTAGTGAATTTCCAGAATCATCGTTTTATTTTATGAAGGCGGGACGACGCTAGTTCATTGATTCTGCGCAACTTCGCTTCGTTAATTCAGCCACTTGTTCGACAGAATGTTCTTATGCTTAACTTTATAAATTATGCGATTAATACTGTCATGTTGCATCAGCGGAAAGCTCACTGAGAGCACAACCCGAATTCACTGTCAAATCTATGAATTTGAAATATTTCTTTCTCATTTCATGGTTCCAACTATAACTGTGCGAGGTTATTACTTTAGAATACCGTAATGCTGTAGCCATTGTAAACTGACACCATTTGGACAGATCAGTTCCACTGTCGCATCTCCATCGTTGCTTATGGATTGTTCCGGAGTACGGGAAATGTGGGTCATTGAGTGTATCGAGGATGTTCGCAATGCCGCTTTCAAAACGAGACCGGAGAAGTTTTCGTCAGAGGACTTTTGCCGCTGTGAGCACAAGGGTCGATGAGAAACAAGGATTCAAGCTTTACAACAGTTATCATGAGGATTGGTGTGCATTATTCTCATGATGGTTCGACGGCGGGTGTGGAAGTGGTAGAACTTGTGAGGAAGATCGAAAGACGCTCCGAAGACAGCATGGAAGAGCGCAGTTGGATTGTCGCCAAGGGGATCAGGGTCTCCTTCAAAATCTTCGATCACTTCAGACTCGAAGAAGAAATGAAGGGAACGCTGCTCCACCAGCTCCCATCAATCTAGAGACGATGTTTCTGTCGGCATCATATACAAAAATATGAACCGTTGCCACGTGTCCTTGAATCGTTCCTCATTAGTGGCAGTAGTCCTGGACTCAATCGAGTACTGATTTATGCACTCAGGGAAACCTGCAAATCTTCAGGGAATCGAGAACGTGGTTTGCAGAGGGAACACTTTGACCAACATCGCCAGCGTTCTGGCAAGTCTACGCAGTGCTGGCAGAAATGTTTGGTGGTGTCCTACCTGTTGTATACGCGCCTTTGCCAGACATGTAGACAGCGACATACAAAAGGCAATGATAAACGCGTTCCCGAATGTTCAACTTCCTGGTTGTTTCTATAATCGTGAGTTACAACGTTAAGCAGTAATTGGACCCACTGCATTCGCCTCGTTCGTACAATACCGATGCTGATTCCGCATTGAATGCGAGGATGATAACAGCATTGGCGTTTGAACTCACTACAGCATCGGATGCAGTAATCGACCGGCTGGCTGAAGAACACCTGAACGATCTGCAGCTCGAAGACAGTTACCCGAGTCACTTGAATCATAGAGGAAATGAGAGACGTCCCCGTTGTTCCCACAGATCGTTTTACCATAGGGGGATCAACAGCGAACACCCTACGTACAACCATGCGGAAGAATCTCGTCGAATAATTCAGACAGAGCTGTTAATGACATACCCATCGGTATGGAATCTAATTGATGGGCTCCGCAAAGTGCGGAAGGGCCAGGGAATATACTACGAACAACTTGCTGCCGGTCATCAATCATCAGTACAGTTGAAGAAATATGGGGATGCAGAAGAAAGGATGATATTTATTATAAATGATTAGCACAAATTGAGATATTACTTACCTTCGCTGGTTAGTGTATAGCGACGAAATGGCGCAGTGAGGCGATACATTGCATATAAAGTTTTCCTTTGTACCTAAATGTATTTTGTACATCAATTCTTTCTTTTTACATGTAACTTCGCCCTTAAATTAAATTCATATTCATAAATTCAATTTTGTAAAACAACTGGGTAATGCTATTGACTTTTCCAACACAGAAATAAAAAATAATTTAAAATTTTCTCTCACTTCGTAATGTT